GCAGAGCAAGGGGTCGGAGCGAGTTAAAAGGGGGGCTCGCCTCTCCAGGTCTCCTATTTCCATTTGAGTGAATGTGACCATAGGGAGAGTTTTCGTCTTGTCCCGTTGGAGTTTAGAGTTTGCAGAAATTGTTGGTTTCCTTTTTCTCTCTTCCCTTCTTGCTATATTCGCAAGAAATGGTAATTGGGGTTTGTGAAGTCCCTCTCCCTGCGTTCTCTCCAAGTTTCCTTAAAACAAATCACCAACAAAACTGGAGCAATGCCTTAGCTAGAATGAATTATACCAGTGTGCTGTGGCTTTCCCCTGACTCTCCTCTTTGTGACTTGTTTAAGGCTGCGGTTTCCGAGGCCCTCTCCAGCCAAGGAAAAGCTACAGAAAAAGCCTGGATCTCTGAATCATCCCTGGGGCGAGTGAAGGCTCTCTCGGCCTCGCCCTCGCCCTCTAGCGTTCGTCGGAAGAAGCGCCACCCCCCCAGGTTCTTGGGGGCTCATCAGGCACCATGGGGTCTACCAGCATCCCGCTGGTCAAGGCCCTCCGCAGCTCAGTCTCCGACTATGTCAACTATGATATTATCGTGCGGCATTACAACTACACGGGAAAGCTGAACATCAGCGCGGAGAAGGAGAACGGCATTAAACCGACTTCGGTGGTCTTTATTCTCATCTGCTGCTGTATCATCCTGGAGAACATCTTTGTCTTGCTGACCATTTGGAAAACCAAGAAGTTCCACCGACCCATGTACTACTTTATTGGCAACCTGGCCCTCTCGGACCTGTTGGCAGGAGTAGCCTACACAGCCAACCTACTCTTGTCCGGAGCCACCACTTACAAGCTCACCCCTGCACAATGGTTTCTGCGGGAAGGGAGTATGTTTGTGGCCCTGTCTGCCTCCGTGTTCAGCCTGCTAGCCATCGCCATCGAGCGCTATATCACCATGCTGAAGATGAAACTCCACAACGGGAGCAACAGCTTCCGATCCTTTCAGGGCCTGCTGGGTCATCTCCCTCATTCTGGGAGGCCTACCCATCATGGGCTGGAACTGTATCAGCCTGCTGGCCAGCTGCTCCACCGTGCTGCCGCTCTACCACAAGCACTATATCCTCTTCTGCACCACGGTCTTCACTCTGCTCCTGCTCTCCATCGTCATTCTGTACTGCAGGATCTACTCCTTGGTCAGGACTCGGAGCCGCCGACTCACCTTCCGCAAGAACATCTCCAAGGCCAGCCGCAGCTCAGAGAAGTCGCTGGCACTGCTCAAGACAGTGATTATCGTCCTGAGTGTCTTCATCGCCTGCTGGGCTCCCCTCTTCATCCTCCTCCTGCTAGACGTGGGCTGCAAGGTGAAGACCTGTGACATCCTCTTCCGAGCGGAGTACTTTCTGGTCTTGGCGGTGCTCAACTCCGGTTCCAACCCCATCATTTACACTCTGACCAACAAGGAGATGCGGCGAGCCTTCATCCGGATCATGTCCTGCTGCAAGTGCCCCAGCGGAGACTCCGCAGGCAAATTCAAGAGACCCATCATCGCAGGCGTGGAATTTAGCCGCAGTAAATCAGACAACTCCTCCCACCCCCAGAAGGACGATGGGGACAACCCAGAGACTATTATGTCTTCTGGAAACGTCAACTCTTCTTCCTAAAACTGAAAGCTGCCATCTCATGGGAGCTCTCCTACCCGGTCACCCACCACCCTGGTGTTTTGGAAAAAAAAAAAAAAATCTCTGGGCCTCAACTGCTGCCAGGGAGGAGCTGCCACGCCAGAGGGAGGGAGGAGGACAATGCAACAGCCTGGTGGTGCCGGGGGTTGGTGGGTAGAGCTAGCTCCATGAACAATGCACTGGGAAGGGTGGAGATCAGGTCCTGGCCTGAAATACATTTCCTCCTCCCGCGGAGCTTTGATTTTGCACTGAGCCAAAGGTCTAGCATTGTCAAGCTCCTGAAGGGTTTATTTGGCCCCTCCTCAAAGACTAATGTCCCCATGTGAAAGCTTCGATTGGTCTGGAGCTTTGTGGAGAAGATGTGTTCTTTCACTTTAGTTTCAAACCCAATGAGTATGTGCACTTCTGCTTCTGTAGGGATGACTGCACATCTGCACATCGCTCCTCCCTTCCCCTTCATACCCTTCCTCAATGTTCTTTTACTTTATATTTTAAACTACCTGGTATTTGTCAGAACCGAGGTTGTGGCATGGTCCATTTCTTGATCATTTGGAGCAGATTGGTCAGTCGGAGTTGGCAGGCCATGAGAAGATGGAGATGATATGGAGATGTAAAGCAGTATCATTTGCTGAGGCCAAAGTTTCCAATGTACGCTGGATCCGTTTTCTGGAATTTGGTTGAAGTCACTTTGATTTTTTTTAACACCTTTACTATGAAATGTGTTACAGTTTCATATCCATTGTGGTTGAAATCTGCACAATGAAGTCCACTTTATCTTAATGATATCAGATAGGAGAAAAGAGGAACACAAGGTGAGAACTGAAGGGATAATTTTATGTAAACCAAGGGGATGTTTTTCATTGAATTAGTCTAACAAATACAACATCTGTCTTTGGCACTTTTCTGGAAGTTTATTTCGGAATGTTGTGTGATTCATTTCAATGAACAGGAGAGTTGTATTTGTTCTGTTAAAAGTACTTTTCATGATTTTTGAATGTATTTGCTTCAGCCAGAGGTCATATTATTGGATTTTTCTAACCTGTGTTAACACCACTGAATGTGTATTTCTTAAAAAAAAAAAAAAAAAAATACCATCCTCGTATGCCCTTAAAGCATTACTTTAACTGGTAGAGAACACCAGACGTTTTTCAGTTCAGCTGTTCAGTAGATAGTAATTGAAGATGTGTGTCACTGTTACAAAGAATAAAAATATACCACTGTCTCTTTAGTATGGTTTTCAGTGCAATTAAATCAAGCAATGTCTTGTTTTTTAAAAAATAGTATTTAATAGGTTTCTGACTTTGGATCATTTTGCACATAGCTTTATCAACTTTTAAACATTAATAAACTGATTTTTTGTAAAGATCCCTTTGTGAAGAGCATTTTTAACCACAATTATTAAGATGTTTTATTTGATCATGTGGCTATTCTTTGGAATAGAAGGTAAAGGCAATTTTCTGTTACTCAAAGGATTTTACCTTGATCAACTAGGGTGTGAAAAAAATGTGGTTTGTTCAGAAACCACTCTACCTTTTTCAGGAAGAGAAACTTCAATAAGTTAACACTGAAGGCTAGTAAAGAAGGAGATAAAAACCACCAACCTCCTGAATACCACATTGGCAAGTAAATGTTATTGTTTGGGTTTTAAATTGCATTTGAGCCAAACTAAATTAAGTACAGTAATTCTACTCTAAAACATGGGTTTTTAAAGAAAATGTATACAACACTGTAGTTGTAAATCTAATACTCAGACTAGTTCGAACCCATCAACAAACACATATATTCTTGGAGTTCTACCAACAGAGGGAAGGGAGAATGTGTAAAGCGGGATGTGAGAGATAAAATTAAATCACTTTATTTTTATCAGTACACAGGTTTGGCTTCTCCAAGTCTGTTTTATGAACACTATGGAAATATACAACAGCAATGAAATGGCTATTTGTAGAATATGGACTGTGTAGCATAGCATCTTTTATTTGAAAACTTTCTTCACGATATCTGAAAGATTTAACATTCCTAGGCTTCAGTTTCTCCAGCTAAAAATGAAAGCAAGGCATCTTGCAAGCACCACAGAATTATGATAATCATGGTTTTGATTGAAATGGCAATGTGTTTTCCTTGTTGGGGATTAAATCAGTTCTTCAGTACCTTTGACTCTCCAGTCCTATTGTTGCTTTCAATTTTTGTGCTTTCAAGTGTCATTGCCTATGCACAGGACACAGTTGGGAAGTGAAGATAAACCTCACCTACTGGAGTCGATGTCATTTCTGGGTAAGGTTAACTGTGGGAAACAGAAGTGTGTTCACTAAGGAAACCTTAGGTCACCACCTCCAGTTTCCTGAAGGAAATGCCAAAAATGCTCCAAAGACAAAAGGCTGGAAACAAACTGGAATGTTTCTATCCATCTGTCTGCTGAGGCGGAAGGAATGATTTCATGTTACACTCACTTCCTAGAGCTTTCATTACAGAGTTGAGCATAATGGAAAAGCACGTCCATTTGGTGCTTCTGTGGAGGATAGAATGTTTGTACTCTTGGCCTTATCTTCAGAAGCAGAACAGTGACTCATGACCTGGGGGAGGTTGGGATAGGATGGCCAGTTGGTGGGGAATAGGAGCACCTGGGTGGCAGGGAGGACAGCTCACCTATGCCCATCTGCATTTTCCAATAGTTAGATGTGCTTTCTCCCTGGAAACTCCAGGCAGTGGCAGTGCATTTCATTCCAAGGAAGCTGGCCAGTCCTGGCCTGTGGTTTTTCTGGGCATATGTGTGGCAGAACCCCACATCTGGCCATGAAGCAAAGGCCAAGATGAAGGAATCTTTGGTTGTATCCTAATATGAGTATCTGGTTTTAATTCAATATATTCTGGGAAGTGAGGATGAGAAAGGAAAAAAAAAAAACTTCAGTAACTATGAGCTTTTAGTATAAATATGCACATATAGAGTTTGGTTTTAAAATATACGTAGTGCTTTTCAAGAGAAGTACAACAGAAAACCGGGGCTAGGCTGGTTATATTTTTGCAGAAAGTTCAATTGGCTCAAATATTCAGGAAAATTATGAAATGACATCTTATAATATCTTACCTCTAGCAACATTAGATGTGACTATAATTTTATAGAACATTCAAATCAAAATCTTTTATAAGGCACATTCTTGTTTTGCTTGTTAATTTTCTTATAAAGCACATTCTTGTTTTTGCTTATTACTTTTCTTATAAGGGACAAATCTAGTTCTTTCATAAAAGTTGATCTAGTGGGACCAATGGGTGGTATGGTAGTTAGGGCGCTGGACACTCCCACATGGCTGACTACGGTTCTGGACCTAGTGACTTGCTTTCTCACTCTCTCACTCTCTCTTTCTCTCTCTGGTCAAACTAAAAATAAATGCATGAATAAATAAAGTTAAATAAATTATTCTTTTTTTAAAAAGTTGATCTATATTAAAAATTCAGAAGTTTCTAGTAATAGAAACTTTGCATTCACATTGATTAGATACTGGATTCTCTTTTAGTAATATCAGCACTTCAGTTGTAATGTATATCATCTCTGCTTTTTTCCCCAAAGTAAACAGTCATTGTAAAGATATTAATTTCATTTCTTTTAAAATCGTATTCATTTCTGTTCTTTACATTGCTCATGTTAAGAATATGCCTGGGCCAGCCTGTGGCATGGTGGTTTAATTGGCCAGATTGTGCCTTTAGAGTCTCAGACCTGGTAGCACAACTCTGCATGTGTCCAAAACCCTGGAAAGAGGGAGAAGTGGAGAAGGGAAAGTGGCATGGCCATTCCCTATGGAATAGTGTTTTCTCTTTCCCCCTCTCTGTCTCTGTCTATGTCCTGTGAACACACATGCTCTATGAAAAAGTTAAAAAGGAAAAAAAGGAAGAATATGCCTACTGCATATCCTTGCAGTATTTCCAACCTAGATTGTACTTTTTGTATGATTTTGACTTCTCATGCCTCTATTTTGTACATCACTGTGATCTGTCACTTTTCCTAGGCAATTACACAGCTCTGTTGGATCTACAACTTTGCAAGAACATCTTCAGAAAGATGTGGGTTCTATTGAGGACATTCTGCAAAGTGAGAACTTGAAGTACAAGTAATTCTGTGTACTACCGATCTTATTTTCAGATGAAAAGCAGGAGATCATACTGGAGTGACCCATTAAAGAAATATTTTACATACAAAACTGTTGAAGTTTTGACCTTTCAGTCACTGGCTTAAGAATTCATCTCTAGCTAGGAACCATTATTCACTCACAATTTTGTAATAATGAGTTTTTATAATTTCTATATAATGTTCCATTTGTTTTTGTATAGTTTATCCCATACTCTTCAGCTGGAATGACATTGCTTCCTACAGGTACTTAACTAACTGGATCAAACCATATTTGACCTCATTTACCTACTTATCTCTTTGTTTTTTTCTCTAAATAGGTGATAGAGACAGGAGGTGACAGAGTAGTAAAACACAATGCTCCACAAGGCTCATCCACATGGAAAGGTTTTGAGTTCAAGGCCAAAATATGCCGGGCACTGGTGCCCGTGGTCTGAGACTGGCTGAAGTTGAGGGTGGGTGTCAGTGTTGAAGCCTTGCTGAGGGCATCACTCTCTCTATTTTTCTCACTCATGGAATAAATTAAAAAAGCTTAAACAAACATAATGCATAGGTTATAAACACTTCGAGGGGAGAATTACAAATAACAATATAATAAAAACTTCGCGGGACCGGCCCTTGCCCTATACATACAGTAAGTGCTTGATGATGAGAAATCGTAAACGCATCATTTCCTCCAACCTTCCTTCCTGCTCTTTTGATGTGTGTTTCATATGATCCAAAGAAAGAGACCCAAAATACAATACTTTTTTATATACACCTTGCATTTACTGACGTACTGATTAGAACTAGAGTCACATTTCAGAACACTCAAGCAAGCCAGGTTTATCTGAACAACTAAAAAAGTCTTTAGATTGGCTACAAAGAAAAAGGATTTTTAACCAGTGATCAAAAGAATTAGGAGAGATAAGAGGGGGATAATAGTGAAGGGGTTAGGTCCACATTTAATTCAGTCTTTTCACAGTCTTTGACAAGAGCCAGGACCTAGAGCAATTCTGGTTCATGTTAAAAATATCTCCCCAATATATCCTACCCCTCGCTCCTTGTGCTTTTTCCTCAGATTCCAATTGTCGCATGATTCCTGTGTTTCCCAGGATCTCTTTTTCTCCCCTTTGAGGACTGAGAACTAAAACTCAGGTGAATCTCTGGGTATAGCTATCAGTAAAAGTCAAGTGTGGGTGGCAGATTTGGATAAACAAGAGTTGCTACATTTGTTTTATTGAAGCATCTTCATGTACCAAATGAAGAGTGTCTAGATTAATAATGAATAAGCAACTGTAGTAAATTCAGAAATGGAATACTATTTGGCAGTTAAAAAAGAACCACTACTGATGCTCATATGAGTATCAAATCTGTTATGTTGAGAAAAAAAATAAAAGTCAGAAGAGAGAACATACAGAAGAGAACCTACTATGTGATTCCATTTATGTAAAGTTCAAGAATAGGGGGAACCAGCAGTTAGCATAATGGCTATGTTACTGGACTCCCACGTAGTCGACCGCGTTCACGTCCCAGACCCGGTGGCTTAAAACTCACGTTGGGCGCATGTGCGTGCATGCCCAAGATCCCGAGAGGAGGATGGAGGAGAAGGGATTGCGGCGTGGCCATCTCCCCTGGGGGGTGATTTCTCGCTTTCTGTCTCTATGTCTCTCTCTGTCTGTCTGGCGAGTGCACGTGCCCTATAGCAAAATAAATAAATAAATAAATAAAACCTCTTCAAAAAAAGAAAAAAAAGAATAGGTGAAACTGTGCTGGTTCCCCCGTTGCCTAGTGGTTAAGGGATCTGGATCCCTCATGACCAGTTTCAGTTCAAATCTCAGCCCAGTCGCTTGAAAACATGCCAGCCTTGTGTACCTGCTTGCCCCAAATCCCAGTGGGATGGAGAAATGCAGGAGAAGGAATTGAGTTGTCACCATGCCCCACTGGGAGGTGCTTTCACCTTCTCTCTCCTGGCAAGCGCATGTACCCATTGATAATTTTTTTAAAAAATGAGACAAAGCTAATCTGTGGAGATAGAAATCAGAAAAATGATTCTCTAGAGGAAGGGGATAAATTGGAAAGGAACATGAAGGAACCTATTGGGTTTTTAGGAATGCTCTATATCTTAATGTTTTAGTGAGTTGGTTACTCAGGTGTATGTATTTATTTAAACCTATCCAGCCCTATTTTTAAAAGCTGTGAAATTTGTATATTTATGTGCATGTGTGTGTGTGAGTATGTATTGGAAAAGTAAATTTTCTATGTTTTCCTACACAAAAATGTATTATGACTGTTCTGACCACTCAGTAGTAGACCACTTCTGAGAATGAGGGCTGTACAGGACTTTCTCTGTGAGATTATGGGAAGACGTACTGAAGTTCAGTAGAGTATGGCAAAAGTCTGAACGTATCCCATAGAAGGAGCCTATGCCCGTTTAGTATCACCCATGGCCCAGAATCAAAACACTAAAATGCTAAATAATTGTGACCCACTGATACTCTCTTTGGTTCCATAGGATGAGAATTTGGCTTAGTGTCGGTATTTGTAATCCCTGAAGAATTTCTGTGTCTTGAAAATGGCTAGGGATGTATGAAACTGTCCCTATAGAAGTTTACTCATGTTCAGATTTCAGCTTTAGAACTGTATGGTGGATTGTAAATGACCTTTTGAAGCATGGACTTTTATCCGCTGGCAAGGACACTGAAAGAGATTAGTACTGGAGGCACACAACGGAAATGCGCTGGGCCATTTCTTACTGTGGTCACCTGATCAAGCCCATAAAAGGCATTCAGTCAGATAATAGCACTTGCCCTGAGTGTAAGTACTGCACTGCTAAAAGTAATGGGCAGAGACACAAAGGGCGTGGAAGGCAGGCTCCTGCTCCGAAGGGAGGGCGTTACAAGCTTGGAGCTGGCTGTGTTGTTAGCTGCATTAGTCCCATCTATGGAGAGCCTCCCGCAGCCAGCCCTGAGAGTAACTGGGCAATGGAAAAGTGCCTTGGGCGCTGCACTGGGACTTGGACAGGCTGATTAGATACAAAGCAGGAGTGGA